GGTTGGGTCCCTGAAGGCAGAAGCTATCTCCAAGGGTTCTGGATTTCCTAAGAATTGGGGCGGGGGAAGCAAAGCACCCAGCTGCCAGGTTAGGTTGGGGCTATACCTGGTGGGGAGCCTAGGTGAGGTCCATCCCTGGGTTGGACCTGGAAGGTTGCCTGGAAGAGGTGGAGGGCAACCAAATAGGTGTGTTCTGAAGTGCACTGGGGGAAAAGGTAGGCCAGGCCAGAGGGCAGATGCTCTTACCCACCCACCCAACCCACGCAGCCCCTCTGTTGTCCCCAGGTAATCAATGCCATAGAGCAGGACTACCGGCTGCCACCGCCCATGGACTGCCCAAGCGCCCTGCACCAGCTCATGCTGGACTGCTGGCAGAAGGACCGCAACCACCGGCCCAAGTTTGGTCAGATCGTCAACACGCTGGACAAGATGATCCGCAACCCCAACAGCCTCAAAGCCATGGCGCCCCTCTCTTCTGGGTATGGCCCTGCCCCTTCTCTGTGGCTCCGCCCCAGCTGGCCCTTACCCTCTCCAAATACCCTCCCACCCTGGCTACCCTGCCTCAAGCAGATACTCTGCCTGAACTGGGATGGAGAAGGATAGTTTGTTGGGTATCTGCACTGCTTTGGGGTGCAGAGGAGTGCAGGGCACAGTGCACGCTGGGTGGGAGAGGAAGCACTTTTAAAGAATGGTCAGATAGGACGGTGTTTAAGAAAAGTTAGCAGAATCTTTGTTAGTAGATGGATTTACTCATCACTAAGTTTCCTCCCTAACTACCCTCACACTCAAACCTGTACTCTCTAACTTGTGTTTGTATCCTCCTTGACACAGCCACACACACACACACATACACACACAAACATGTGCACGCATGCACAAGAACATAGTCCTACACATATGTATGAACATAGGCACAAATGCTTATGCTCTCACACACACAATCTCATACATGAATATACCCATTCTCACACTCACACTTACATACATCCATAGGCACCTGAGCACACACATTCAGCAGTGCAGACTCACCACAT